TTGATGTGAAGGAGCGGACAACTCGCCTGGCACTGGAATGCATGGTCCAGATCAGTCAATTCTACTCGACAATCCTAATATCAACAAGTACACATTATAAAGAAGTAAGTTCATTGTCCTCCTATTCGGGTTGAATTTAAGCCTCATCATCAGCTGCGTGTCATCATCTCTGAGCTCCGCTCCTCCATGCAGAATCACGTTCGGTCCAATGCACCTATATTATTGAATGGAATGGTAACAGCCGGAGATGTAATGCGCATCAAGGGTCAAGTCTTTCGAGCATCACACTCAGTCTTTCTCCGTCTCCTCGACCACAACCCAGCCACCCCAACTACCTGGCCAGTATTCCCATCCATCATCAAGTCACAAGATAGCCAGTCCGAAATCTGTGATGTGATTTTTCGAAGCCCAATCATAGAGAGAGTGAGTCGAAAGGTTGACGCCTCAAGACTGCTACCAATGAATTCTTAAAAGATCATCGTACTCATTTTATTTGGTCCTGATCGGGTAGGAAAACTCGCTCCTCACCCCTCATCATCAAAATGTCACACAAACAAGTGGAAACCCACCTCGGTGTCTGACGGGATGATCACAATGGCAGCTACTCTGGTAATCCTCACTTTACGGCCTTCCTGGTAATTGACACGATTTTTAGGCATGCTGATTAATATCACCGGATGACAGCTTTACCAAGAATGGCAACAAGATGGGTATCAACTACTTCGATCGATGGGTTACCTACAGGCATCTTCTCACCAAGCACCAGGCCAACCCGTCTGTACAGTATCTACATGAAGAGCTCAACAAGAGCATCTTCAGCGGCCAAGAGGTTGTGGTCAGCCATAGCGAGCCACTCCAGGGGGATGGCTTGGCAGCTGAGCACAATGAGCTCGACAAACTTGAATGGTCTTTTGCACGCCGCAAGGATTCTACGAACAATCCACAAGCTATGTTGGCTGTTATTCGTGGTTTCTTATGCTTAGCACCCAACAGATGCCCTGGAAGCTGAAACGCACCAGATGGGAGCACAAACGGGTATGTTTAGACGATTACAGTAACATAGTACTCACCCCCTGATATTAGCGAGGTGGAAGTAACCAACGATGGGGAACCTTCCATGCAGAGTGATGGTGGCCATCAACGGCTCTCATCCCTGGCACGCGACGTCCCTTCCCCCACCCCCCAC